TGCAGTGGGCAGGGAGAAACATTAAACCACCGTAGTTTTAAATATAAATGCTGTTTAAGTAATATTTTGGTGGGTTGGATGCCAAGAATCATTACGCGATGGGGCAGAGAAAAAAAAACTACACGTGGTCTTGGTTTAAACAAAAAAAAATGCTGAGACAGGCATTGTCAATCAAAAGCCATAGCCCCTAAAAAGGCAACTGGGCCCATTACCTCCCAGGAATATACATTTTACACGGTCAAGCAGGAAATTATTTGAAATATTTGAGTGTCGTCATTAATGTCGTCGAACTTGGAAATAGTTTTGTAGTAGTACGCGCATCTCCGGCTCACAGGGTACTGACCACATTGCACTGGAATTGGAGGTCTATTTGAGCTGAAAACAGATCTGGAGATAGGAAAACGACTGTACTCAGACCGTGAAATTCGATCCCACACTTCCACAGGACTCGCTCTGTGGCCGAAATTCACATTGGGCATCAGTGCGCCGCCCTGCACCTTGTGTGAGAGAGGAATTTCCCTATTCACGCTGTTCGTTAACCTAACAATAGCGAACACACAATAGGGATATTTACAGTCCCAAATCCTCCCATCTCAATGTGATTTTACATACACCCTCGGGGGTTAGGGTTAATGAGCTGGAGACTGGTCTGGGTGCCGCGCTGCGCCGCGTGTGGAGGGTGGACAGGTGACTTGGCAAAATGTGCCGCGGGGAGCCGAGGCAGCTCGCCGATAAAAATCTTTTTGACATCGTGCCTAAAAGGGTTTGGAAATAACAGAAAAAGGAAATAACACGAAAATGAACCTCTACATTCTCCTCATTGTGTACTTCCATGATCAGAAGAATGTTGGAAATGCTAGTTCAACAACTTGTTGGACAGATTTCTTCCCTTTAAGTGCTTACCAAAACAAACCTCCTAAATGAAGAGGTGCCTTCACTGTTAAACCCTTAACTTTCCACGCCTAGTTTATCACATAAATAAGATCTTGTTGGGTTTGATAGGGATACAGTTGGTGTATGGCCACTAATTTAGAACAAATTTAGGGCTCTCTAGTGGGCTCAAAATGTTCCCTTCGCTATCATCTGGTGCATCTTTCAACTCGCTCCATCTATCGTCTTTGATGATAAATTATTGCAGCCTGCAGTGCACCCCGAGAGTGGCGAGTAATTGGATTATTCAGAGATGAACCTACCAGAGAGTAGGAGCTCCACGGCAAAATACTCGTTCAAATCAAACAGGTCACTGATAATCAGTGCCTCGTCAATGAACTGCCGTGGGAAAGTCTTGGTCCCTGGTTGGCCTTCGATTACCAGGCCTGTCACATCTGCTTTCCGGATCTGCAGTCTGTGCTGGGCATTCTTGGCCTGTCCATGATAAAAGTTCAATTAATCCAAAGCCTGAACCACAACCGGTGCCACGCATGTGCCACCTACATGTACATCTATGAACAAAAGTTAAAACATTAAAGTCATCGTCTATTGCATATGGGACATTGATTTATTGTTGACCCTGCCATTCCAATTCCTAACTGGGCTGCATTAGTCTCAGGGACCAGTCACATTCCAGATGGCCACTTTCACTCACGTACAACGAATCTGGAAACTTGCCACTGCATACTGGTAAATATTCTCAATGTGTGCAATAGTCGAGATACCAGACATATCACCTTGACGTGACACAGAGGCATTGTGCTAACTTTGATCATAAAGCCAGGCCCTTTGGATTTAAAACTGGTATATATCCTGACATGCGTAAAACCTTTGAAATCCAAATATGGGAAAAAGTAGGGGGCAAGTCCACATTATATGCTACAAAAGCACTGAAGATTGACAAATGCTCAGTGATCAGTCATTGAGCGAATGTGTTGTCATAATGAATGCTAAAACTCCATTTAATAACATGCATTGAGAAATGACCTCTACTTCATTTAGTTTCTTTTAAAATTACAAGAGTTTTTCTCTGTCAGAGCTGTTGTGCACGTGATTCTGCAGTGACTGGCTAAATCCACAGCTAGAGTTTTAGTGTTTCGATAACGTATCAAGATGAAAACCTCCTTACAGGGTTCTGTAGCAGGGAGATGAAGTCTGGCTTGTGTTTGCGGATGGCAGCATCCAGCTCGTAGAAGGCGTCAGGGAGTTTCTGAGAGAGGGCAGCATGCACCGTGCGCAGGAGCTCCTTAAATGGGCTCCACAAGTTACTCCCTGGGTGCCGGGAAATATAAGAAAAGAAAGTAGGATGTAGGGTGTCACTTCTTGAGGGAGTTTCACAGCTTACTCCTGGGGTTCAAGCACTAAGATACTCAAGACATGCAAAAAGGCATGCAGGTTTAACATGGTTATGACAAGTGGTTACTCCTGTTTGTCCACTGCAAACATTCATGTACACAGTTTATGGTTTTTGTGGTGGCAATTGAATTTCTTCTTTAAATTGTGGCGAAAGGCGTTAAAGTTCCCCGCTCATAGTCTCAGGGATAAGTCGTGAGCATCCTGGCAAAATTTCAGCTCATAAAACCTGGTGGATGTCAAAGATAAAAGGTCACCTGTGTTTGTGTCATACCTACATTCCAAATCAGGGCCCAGTAGCAACAAAAAACTATCCTAATTCTAAGGGTCCTGTTTATGGGTCTGATTTTTGGAAAGCTTTAAAATTCAATTTTTTTTTTTAATATTCAAAAATTCTGAATATCGTTATCCCAAATCTAAAGTGCGACACTACAAATGTGAAAAGAGGATGGCTTGAATGAAGTCCAGAATTTTCTGCCTCTCAAGTTTGATTTAAAAAAACATAGCATTACGACTCATGCAAACTACACTGGCTCAAAGTCACAATGAGTATGACAGAGTGGTGAAATTTGAGTTCTCAAAGTAGGCCTAGACCTAGATCCAGACTGGCGGCCAATTTACTGGACTACCTCCATATCTTTGGCCATCCAAAAAGTAGAGACAATTTCTTGCTTCCACCTGTTGACTGTCGCTCTGTTCATGCCTTTCGTGTTTATCAGACTACGCATGCATTGAGCCCACCAATTACTGCACTTGCTCTGCATCTTGACTCGACCATTTTCGGTGGCGGGGGATAGCATCACACACGGCGCAGCACATGTCGCACGTCTCACCAGATGTGTGTTTCCAGGTCACAGCAGCAGCTAGGGTGGTCCCACGATGAAAACAACACAAGATGTCATCCCGTCACCAAAAATGGTCGAACCAGGTTGCAGAGCAAACACAGTCATTGGTGGGCTCAACGCATGTGCAGTCTAGTGATAAACACGAACAGCATGAATGGAGTGATAGTCAACGGTACCAGGTGGAAGAGAGAAATTGCTGAGCAAAAATCATATTTTTTTCAAAAATACTCCGTCTCATGCTCTGAAACTTTTGTTATCACCTTTTTAGGAGGTATAGATTAAGCAGGTATGCTGAGTGACATGGGAAACTTTGATTTGATAGGCCTAGCTTTCTTACAGCTGTGAACCATTTCATCACAAAAAATCGATTCCAAAACGCCATCACTGCCCAGCGTTACGACGCCATGTGAACCTTGTCTCCTCTAAGTCACACGGAGTATCACGGAGTTAGTGACTCAGAGTTCTCGAAGTAGACTAGCCAAGACCATAGAGCAAGCCTAGACCATGTCGGCCTAGACCGTCGACAGTCATGACAGCCATGATATGACAGACAGCGCAGCAAAAAAGATTAAATTAAACTGCTTCTGCTGGCCACTGTACAATCTCCAAAATTCTGGCTGTCCCGTACAGATGACGCCGCATGGGATCTGGTTGCAACTAAAAGAATCAATTTGTAAAATGAACTTGTTAGGACAGAACAGCAAGATCAATTCTGTCAATCTCGGTCTTGAAAGCGCCAAGAGTCGCAGAACATCTGACGTGGTTTGGTAGATAGACAATTCCATTCTGGAATTGTCCAGGGGTACAAATGCATGTTAAAACGTTTACTGCACACGCTAAACACCTAGACCTTAAGTGACGGAATTCTTAAATTAATAAAACACACGAGAGTGCCTAAAATAAATGTATACATTTTGGGCAAATAATTAAACCATCTTTTTTTTTCTTAAAATCTTACCCAAATTGACCGCTTTACTGTCCGCCATGTTTCAAATAGCATGCGCACCTAGTACCTGCATACAAGAACTATCTCCAACTTCGTCTAACGTATAACCTGCCATTGTGGCGAATTGGTACCAGTCTGGATAAAATTGCGCCATGATAGCGCCCTCTCGTGACGTTTACTTTATAGACGGCGCATCAACCTCGACTTCCGCTTCCAAACCTGCGAAGCAAAGAGCTGCTTCGATCGCACCTACTTGTATCATCACAAAAAGACATTGAAACATTTATTGTCGAAATAGACATATTTTTTAATTTTTTGAAATTTGCAGGATTTGCTCAACGAAGTTTTCTCTTCGATGAAATTTACCGTTCACATGGAGTTTTATGGCTCATTCCTTCGATATAAGGAAGAGAACTAAATAAATTTACAAAATAACAGAAATTTATGCAAGAAAGAGTGAACTTTTTTTAAATTCACGACTCAAACAACGCACTGTCTGTGCATCAATAAAACCCAAGTTTGATGGTAAGAGGCAAGGAACTCAACTCTTGGGTTTCAAGTACATTGTGATAAAAAGCCAAACAGTTCGTTTGGTGCGCAAATACAGACGACGGCAAACAGTGTTTGTGATATCGGTATATCTCCGAACAATGCAAGGAAGATTATTAAAAGAAACGATTAATGATGCAAAAAAGCTTGTAATCTGCTTATTACGTGCTACCCGCAAGGACCTCGACAAAGTGATGTAACTACGACAAGAGAAACTAGCATTTGTAAGAAGGTTTAGAATTAAAGTTTTACAAAGACCTTCGTTTCAGAAGTCTTTGCGGGGAAAGAGAAAATTAAATTAAAGAAATCTGAAGACTCGAAAACTAATTTACGAGCGAGGGTTTTTCACTCAGAAAACTACTCAATTTTATTTGTATCCCGATAAATCATTATTTAAAGTTAGAATAGGGAGTCTTAATAGTGGCATTAACCTTGGAAAAAGGACTACAAAAACGAGGCCGTCAGAATGTCCGCATTTCCAAAAAGAGTTCGACCGTCTGGATAATGTACAAGCCCTGTATACATCGATGGCCGTCTGCCGCGACAGGAAGAGTTTGCATTTCCCACGTGCACAAACAGATCCGATAGCTCTGCAAATGTCTCCCACCGACATTTATCAAACTTCAGAATACTCTGCATAGTACGACGGCATTTATCTCTTTAAAACCTGATACAAGCCAACCGTGCAATCACACGCGCAATGTAAATGATTAGTTTCTGTGTTTCTCATTGATTTGGCATGCCAGTGTATTTCAGTCGTGATAGATAAGTCATGTTGTCAGTATAGGGTCCTCAACCTCGCGAGAGCCAGGGAAAGTTCGAAAGCCAATTTCCCACCCAAAGTACGAGAGGAATGAGAGAACCACCTGCCTGAAAAAAAGAAATGTAAGGATGTTACTGAAACTGGTGATGCCAGTACAAATGACCCCACGAAAGACGTTCCATTTCTAGCTTTAAAAAGGGAAATTAATCTACAGTCAGTCTTTTGCAAGATTTAGGTTGTATTCTTTTTCCTTTTTTGGTCGTAATATATAGAGGCAGATGTCCTCTGAAAACGGCACGTAATATTATTTGTAGAAAAAGAAATCAATTCGCGATTCATTCGAAATGAAACATAAATCGAACGGAAAAGTTAAGAGAAGGGTAACACAAAACTTTGAAAACGAAGGGAAAGTTCAATAATATATCACAACGTTGGATCGTTAATAATTATTTAGTTTCAAAACTAATCTTTTCTGCAAGGTTAATAACTGTTGAAATCAGGGGGGTGGAAAGGCTCCCGTACTGGTTCAAAAAGTGCGAAATTCCGGATCAACCTTGAACGAATCGCTGTATACCAGCTCATCTCTGGAATGCCTTTGGCTGTAGGCTACTACATTATTTCGTAGCAAACTTCCTCTTCTTGATAATATTTTCAAGCCAAATGGATGGTTCCCAGATTTGTTATTCCTCCATGCTTGTTGTAGGCGCCACATCGTGACGTCTTGACACTCGACCCTCAAAAATATGGTTTTTGCTTGCAAAAGTTCAGGATGTTTTCTACATGATGTTTCCCTGAAGATCAGACAGCGCCAGAGGCTCGCAATCAGACAAGCTCTTTCCCTGCATTTCAGATGCGGCTCTCGACTAAATTAATGGTTAATTTTCTTTGACGGAGGTTTTGTCGTAATCCCTCCCCCTCCGTTTAGCGACACCCGTGGCTGTCATTTCTCACTCATTGTGAGTTTCTGACAATAGAAAACTCGTCAACTTGCTAATTAATAATTATACTCTACGTGCACCGAACCCAGTATGACAGTTCTCAGCAGCCAAAGAGGGTTTGGAGAAAGCCTAGACCAGGGACCAGAAGGTAAGCACGATTCCAGAAAACAAATCTTTGAGCCAATATTTACCGAGGTGCGAGGTATCGACATGCCAGGGTAGCAGGAACGTTCCCCTAGGATCCCACCTCCCACAGCGGGCACGAGTCAACAAATGCTGCAGATAGGGGCAGTTCCTAAGGGCATGAGAATGCAAAAAATGTAACAGACTTTGTTTAACGTAGTAGTAAATAATTTAATGTTAGTATAGGACAGCCAACCCGCAAACCTGTATCATTTGTACAGACATGTTTGTATGTGCAGATTTAGACAAATTTACAAACTGTCGTTCAGTTAGAGACCATGTTTACTTTATTCATGACTTCGCATGGGAACCAATTTGTTTTTCACTTTGGCTGAAGCATCTTTTGAACATGAACCTCGGTGTAGACTCAAGTGTGCAACACCGAGCAATCGACAAGCCTGAAAACAAACCGACCTGGACATGAAATAGCGCCCTCAGGTAAAAACTGCAAAAGCGACATCTTCTCTACTGTAGAAGTATAAACTAATATCTGTGATCGTCGTTTCACTGCATGAGCGCAAGAATCCTTTCTGGGAAGAAAACAATAAAGGAAATATCATCTAAGGGCCTAGATCTCATCAAAATTAGAACAAAAGGAAACAAACAAACGAACAAAGCGAGAAACCAAAGTTTTCACTTCCCCATTTTACAGCCCAAGAATCGAGTTGGGCAGTGATATAAGAAGAGGTAACAAGCTATAAAAAGCAACCCACCAACTCAACTTACCTCATTGGTTATGCAGTCACATGACATACCTGAACTTGATTCATATCTGAAATGTTCTTTCTTTGATAATAGATCCCATAAGACTTCCAGTTTTCATGTGGCAGTAATGGTCGACAAGACAGTGTGAAAGAGAGTCTGTCCTGATCATGGACCAAATATTTGCTGAGACGTCCCCAGTCGACTTAGTATTTCTTCAAAACAACACTCCAAGTTGAAACTGGTAGCAAATGGCTTTCAGAACGGTTTAAATTTCCTCTGCACTGTTCCATCTGATGATGGGAAATCCTCACTACGTTGATAGTTCATGAGTCTGCTCACTGGAGGGGCACTTGTGATCAGAATATATATACTCTTTAATGAGGCACTCAAGTCAGCGAATTCCCGACGCAACTGCATCTGTCTCTCTTCTTCCACGTCGACCATTGCACAAGACCGCAAGTGGATACGCCACGAGGTTTCACAGGCCCAAATATCCATTAGAATATTTCCATCTCCGGGGTCGTTCGGCCGCACGGATCGACGAAAAGTCCGTAGAGGAGAGAGAGGAGGAGGATGACTCGATCATCGCCCGCTTGCCCGGGCGTGACCAAGAGGCGGCCGGCCCGAGTCGACGCAGCCCCGCTAGCTAGGCGACCAATACAAGTAAGCAAATCATTTACCTAGGTCTCTGTATCAAAAGTTCCACATCTACAATGCAGAGGACGACTTATAAAACAACAGGTTGGGCAAAAACGGCATGCCCGGTCTTTTAAACCGATAATTTCCCATACAAGGACTCAAGGGCGTATCCAGATCTTTTTTTGGAGGGGGGATTGATCGGGCAAAAAGTTGAATGGTTTCTTTCTGCAACTTCTGTGGCTTTTCTGAGGGGTATAGGCTTCATATGGTGGCTTTTTAGTCGCTTTTGGGAGACGGAAAATGAAATACATATTGTGTATAGTTCTACAAATCGTTCTTCATCATTAAAATTTATAAATGCCTTTTTGGGGGGTCCCTGTTTCACCCTCGGACACAACCATATACAAAGGCTGAATATTTTTACTCATGTCCTGAAATTTTGAACAAACGGTTAACGTTACAAACCTACGTCATTCATTTCTTCAACTGTCATGCGTTCCGGGTATGCCAGCCGCATCAGCACACATCTTTTAAAGAATAATATTCAACTCTGAACTTTTATCACTCATTTTGACAAGAGCAAATGATTAGAAGAAACGCAGAGTTCTCTTTTTCGCTGATGTAGGGACTATGTGTTTTTTTCCTTCCACTGTCTATTGCCGTATAACTTTATACCCATCACTCACCCCCTTCTCTTTCATTCACATTTGTCCACAGAAAAAGATCCTGGCCTTCGGGAATGTGTGCCGAATCATGTTTATGCACAAATGGATTGTGCAAAATGACATGTAGAAAAATGCCAATCTGCAAAGCGCCCTCATGTTAAAACATCATCATTTAAAAAGACACTTTAACAGTAATGATTATCATTTATATTGTGATGTGCACCCCGCCACCATTCAACAAACTTTACCCCATTTTGTTAACATAATGTGCATCAAATGAGGACTGAATTTCAATCCAATGTCAGGAAAATTCAAACCTGCTTAAGCCACTCATAAAAAAGCTGAAACGGTGAGTGTCGGTTCAAAGCAATGTGGCGTCATCAAAATGTTACGAATTGCTCGTCAGTGGTAGTCTTGTCGGTCAGGAGTACATGCTATCTGGAAAACATCTCTACACGACATCTTGCTATTGATAGGTTACTCATGTTTTTATCCCCATTTTACCCATCTAATCTACGTGCTTTTTTCTCTTCTTTTGTAATTTTTGTACCCACGAATGAAAACTGCAAAGGTCAACGCAACCAGTATGGAAAAAATATTTTCTCCCTATTCAGTACATGTACAGATACGCTTGGAACACCCGTGGATTGTTCGGAACCGTGTAGCCAGGACCTCGGTCGGTGATCATTATAACTAGTAAGCAATTGCATGCATGATGATGTCAACAAATACGGTCTGGTTTTACAGAATATTAATGTACACGGCTTGACAGAAACTCGGTGTGGGCATGTTTCTATTCAACACAAATACATTGCACATGACGACTGGGACATATCGTATCAAGATATCAAAATATCGCAGTACACGTATAATCTTCATAACGATTTATTCGTTGCGCTCCTTAATTTTCCACACACAAAACAGCCGTTGTCTTGCTCTTCTGCGCACGGCTCGTGATTCGATTGTATTGAATCACAACCCATGATCCTATTCCACTCAGTTGACTGGACGTTCAACCTCGCGCACGAAAGTGTACATGCTCACTTCGAGACCCACCGAGAGGATGCTTTTATTGTATCCCAGCTTCGATTCAACCTCAGGTGCCCTCCGCATGATAATAACCAGTGGCTCCTGTTGGACCATTTTCAAGGAAGGAGGCAGAATTTTCTAAAGCTTAGTCGCATGTTCCAACCTTGGATCAGCAGGATTAGCATTGAGAAGTGATGGGCGTGTTTCATCCTTGGCAGTGGTTTTTCCTTCAGTAGCATTGTTCAGTTTAATACCGTCAACGCTGGCTACACGGGAAGTACTGTGCTTTGATACTCCCCGAGGCAGGATTCCGTAAAAAAAAAAACCAAAACCTGGGGATTATCAACAGCGTACCGCAAGGTGTTCACCGAAGGACGCATCGGTGTTGTTCCGCTGCACTTCACTAGATGGAACTTGAAAATTCTCTTTAGAATTTTTTTTTTAAATTTGGACTCTGCTATTGTTCTATCTTGCTTTCGTCATGCCGTGACACGCACGATTGACCGAATGCGACAGTCCATTGTATCAGAGTGTCTTATTTAAACAGTCCTTCACTTTTCGCACCCTTCAGAATTTTGTTGGAAAACAAAAGGCATAATGGTGACGGCACTGCAGACGGAAGTTGCCTTAAAACGGCACGCTTGAAGGTAGCATTACTTTCAGTACACGTACTTCGCTGTGTAGATCCTCACTACTGAATGGAACGAACCCCTCGAACCCGTTGACGATTTCGAACTTCAAGTTTTCGGATTGAGCACGTTCATCCTGTCGCGATCAATGAAGACGCCGTCTATCGAAACGCCGACCCCGGACGGACTGACCGAGATCCGATTCGGTGAAGGGGGCGGCTACACGGGTGCGGACATGAGGGTCATGGCGGGCCCCCGGGAGTCCCCCTGCAAGGGTACCTTGGTGGTGGAATCGGCCCAGGCTCACACCCTGGGCCACGGCATGAATCAGGACGTCACCGACGCCCGGATCATGGTGCTGGGGGCAGAGAGCGTCGGAAAGTCCGGTAAGTCGAAACAAAGAAATTTGATTTGACCGTGACGAATTGAAATGGACCTCAGTGTGCAGTATTCTTTTTTTTTTTAATGAATCAAATTTCTACAAGTGACAGAAAAATTCTGATAGCATAGAATTGCCCGGTTAACAATACATGGAATAAATATACTGTAATGCTGTATTTTGTCATAATGAAACGCTCGAAAAACTTTTACACTGTGCGTGCGTAGCTGGCTCGATCTACAAAACGGGGGAAAAGGCCAGTAGAGTTTTTGCCGCATACCACTCAGAAGAATAACCCTGCGCATTGTGGGTAGTTTACCCCCCCCCCGCTGTGTGTGGGATCTCCGAGTCGGTGCCACAGACGCTAATAATCTTTACTTACTGGTGGCCTAACTCGGTTCTACTGGACACATCATTACTAGTCATAGACACCCGGGCCCGTGTGGAGAGAAAAGGGTCTTCTTTGAAACGGATCACCACCCTTTAACTCAGAAAGAAAAAATTGTTGGTAGTGGTGGACTATCATCGCAGTTTCCTACGAAGCTATTGATCAGTTGCAAACAAGAGGCTCGGCCAGAAAGAACTTTTTTTTCTGTCCTTTTCATCGCCTATTCACGACAGCGCCAATTACACTCGGCCATGATCCACCGCAGAGCTCGATTCCTGCCCGTCGCTTTTTAATGGCCGTAATCAACTGGCGCAAAAACTGTGAAAATCGCGCCTCAGACAAGGGGAGTGGACGACAAATTGTCGAGGGGGAGATCACAAGCCAGGATCATTTGTTGTCATTATGGGGCTGGATTAGCAGCTATATTTGTAGCGATCAAGAGGGTCCCTCAACAATTAAACTTTAAAGCCGCCACACAGTTGGAACGGTTGGGGTTGCATTGTAGTCAAATGAAGCGAACAGAACTTGTACTGAAAACGTCTCGTGCATGACAGCGTATTTTGACAATGCGCAGACGGTGTTGCCGATGACTTCCATTTGAGCATATGTTTGGAAAATGGCTGCCGGGGTTGGACAGTAAATACATGCCGCCGCATTATGTTGGAATTTTTTTAACGTAAATCAAACTTAACCAAATGTCAACACTGCCAATAATCTCAAAGCCTTTTTTTTTAGCTGAAAGCCCATTAACTTCTGTAGATCCAGTCTGAAAGCAGAGAGCTACCCATCCGCTTAACACAAACATGACTGTTTCTACCCGGTAAACTGAGTTTGCATTATCCTTGACACGATGAGAAAACTCCTCGCTCATTCCAAGCGTTCTGTGATATGATTTGATTTGATTCACGAAACTGATACGAAAGTTCATACCACGAATCAATGTTTCGTTTGAAACAATATCCGGAGCGCCTTCCGGGAGTTATGGTATCATTCCAACGCCGCTTTCAATACTGCTGCAATCCTGCACAGACATGCATAAGACCGGTCTGAGATGCAAACGTTCAAAGCACATCAGAAGAATTTATGCCTGATCGTAAAACAGACAGAAGGAGAGACATTTTGGGTCACCATGTCGTGTTACAAGGGCTGGGAACTCCAGCGCTCACTTTTTTTTATGCCACCCAGAAACAGGTTGTCTGTCGTTTGTCTGTTTACGTATAAAGTATGCGGTTTATTTTTCTTGATGCCAAAATTTGACATCGCCTGTAATATTAAGCGACTTTCTGACACTGTTTGCCCGGCAGGCATTCCTGGAATCTGGAGTAGCTTTCATCAGAGACAAATTATCTTTTCTTCACATTGATTAATACTTCTTGGCCATCGACATGTCCGTTTGCAAGCACTCTTTCAGTATATCAACGACAAGCCGTAATTAGGCCCCGTGCGTTCATGCGCCTTTGGTCAAGTTTGCTTTTAACAACCCTGCCGTGTTGTGGGATCATCACTGTTGTGCGTCGCTCATCGGCGGCCGCCTCAACGCTATACGCGAGACATCATTTCGTATCTTCCTCTCAAACAGAGCTGGCGATAGACTGACAAAGATTAAAGCCAACATTTATTTTCCCGGGCATACACTATAAACACCAGTCCCCGAGATTAAAATGTGGAAATAACAAACATGCATGCACAAGACCAACAGATATTGATGATGTGTTTAGTGTAATGGTCAAATTGCAGGTCTCGCTTTCAGCGAAACCACTCCCCAAATCAACCACTGGAGCAGTGGTCTAACCAATTTCAATGCATGTCATTCTTCACTTCGAAAACCGTGGTGCTAAATCATGTAAATGAACAACTGTTGTGGTATCCGAACTGTAGGCCTATACATGTACATGTACAGTTGTCCTGTACACGATCAGTGGTCTTGTACCAAACACTGTCAACTTCAATACCTCATTTGTGTGTGTTGTCTACGGTGCATCTGATACTCGACTTCACCTGTTGGTATATACGATGTGTTGAAGCAAACTTGACTGCATGAGGTTGTTCAGGCCAGAGCTAAAGCAAACGGCTGACGCCCAAGTCTTTGATGTGTTTTGCGGTTGTTAGAGTGGAGTAAAAGGGACAGGATACCGATTGAAGTAACTTTTTATTGGCTCCTCGTGAGCAAGGTTTAACCCGTCTTTCACATGAAACTTCAGTTCCGACAGTTATACCAGGGAATGCCACCCTACACCGATAGAGGTCTGCACTCATTTGCGCGTCCAGCCAGAGAGTCGCGGGTAATCTGTCCGATGAATCCGGCCAGAGCAGGTCATACCGAACATTATCCCACTGTAGCTAGAACTCTTAGCGTGTTCTCGAATATTAAACTCAAATTAAGTCTATGCAGTGTCAAATCAAGCCTGTTGACAGGCATTCATGTTTCCCCCAAAAAAGAATCGGAAAGCACAACAAAAATCGCTCCGTATACCTGTCCCAAAAATTATTTGTGATAACAACAAGTGACGCAACGAAAACAAATTTAAGGAACGGACAATGTGTTTGCTCTAGGAGCCAGATACGTGTCGCTGTCTAATCACTTCTGTAGACGCTGATTGGATTACACTTCTATTTAACCGTCTTAAGTTCCCCAATAATTTGCTTAAACGGACAGTGTCTCAAAGGGCGCAGACGATGATTTATGATGGTCCTGGATTCGGGGCAGATTGTTTACATTACATGAGAATTTGGCCACTGGCCGCTGTACAGGTGCGTACTGGAATCATAAAAGGTCATATAACTACATATACCTATGTGGACGCACGCAGTTTTATTAGACCATTATACAGTCCACTGGACACAACTATTCTTTTCAGAACAATAGCTGAAATAAATATAGAAGTGTTGAACGATTCTTTGCGACCATAATTTGGTCTTTGTTGCAGAACGGAGATAGTAAAGGAATTTTCGCCATTGCTTGAAAGTCTTATGTATGTACATGTACATGTATACCAACTTTAAAGAGTAAGACTTATGCGGGCTGGAGAGTTAAATCTGGCCTTGATTTTCAGCACGCGCGCCAGCACGTGGTTCTCTGCATGTGGGGATACATTATTACCCTCACAAGATTTCTTGACCTTCATGTAAAAATACAGTGGAACACGGAGTAGGCCGAGGTAAACAACACACTTTCGCTTTTCCATGTGAATTGGAAGACTGTTTATTTCAAATAGTTCAAAGTGTTCATATAAAGCATTCGGCTGATGATACATGCGCAGCCAGTCTGGTAAGTGCTATACCCATTGGTTGCCCTTTAAAAAGTATCGCTTTTACTGTGCAAAAGGTCTGTGTAATCATGGAGGAAGGATACCCTCCATGGTTTAAACAGGGCTAGGAAACTGCACTGCATCGTGGTTGTTTCAACCATATAGAGCTACAAACCCTATGTTTCAACAGTGCAAACTTACGGCTGTTTTAATGAAGACCGCTGGTGATGAAGAGAAATTGCACATTAACGCGCAGCCCCGAAGATTTGACAAACAGCTATATAACACGGCTCCGAATGTCGAGAATACTTCGGCATAAAATGACACTACATGCACTAGGCAAATTTTGACACGGGAACCAGGGAAAAGGTAGTGGCAAGTTGAATTGACCGTATGTTGTCAACAGAGCGTGTATATTGTGTGGGTGGGTGCGTGTTCAGGGACGAGAATGTACATGTACATGTACTATACACATGTAATGCACTGCAGTTATTTACGATTCAGATTCGATTTATGCCCGAAACGCTCAGGCTGTCATTTGTGCAGGGTATTCATTATTTCGCTGCACATAAATCTTCGTCTGACCTCCTCGACATCACGAGTTTTATACGTTTGCGATGCCTGCCAAATGCAGCCGTGGCCTTGGAAGCAGTTACACAATAGAATTTTCCCTTGGGGAAATTGAGATAAAGAGAGTTATACGAACTAGTAGTAATATGTTTGCCAAACCTGACGTGAAATATTTGAATAGCCTATTGCTTATGTATTCTAATTCTTATGCAATATAGAAAACTGTACACTTTGCACACAGAAAAAAAAATTGCACACAGTCACATTTTCTAGCACGTGTTTTTCATGGCGTAAACTACGCATATTCATTGACATCACTGTCCCCGACTTGTATTTGGAAGAACTTAGGTGAACTCCAAACTTTCTCCTAAACTCCAAGGAACCTCCAAACTTAGTTGAAGGAGATATGGCTTCTAAAAACACCCCGAGGATCGATCCAGGGCTGTCACATCGGTACAGTACTTGGTCAGCCCTATTGACAACAAATTTCCGTTCGTAACCTCTTGACAAGGATTCAAGGCCGAGAGAGTCTCAGCCATTCTCAGAAACCCATGTGCGCGCAATAAATCATAAAACTCTGCAATATGTCTGCATCGCCGTGTTGTGGACTTGTTTAGTACCTCGGCAGACAAAATATATTTATCAGGACGTCAACGGACAAGAAATGCGATCTTGGAGGCGTGCACAGGGATTACCGCAGCGGCGAGAGACGTCGCAATAGTACCAAGCAAAGGCAAGTCTCAAGCTCGAAAAATCTTTCCCGCAATGATCTCTCCCGTGCCTCCGCGTATATACTTTGCT